TTCTTCGAGATTGATTTCTTGCCCAAACCTTCGCGATATTCCCTACTCTCACTCCGGTTCTATTCGAAATATTTTTCGGATGCAGACAACCGAGAAACTCTCGAATTAGTAACAAGGAAAAATGTTAAAGGGCGCATAGTTCGTGTTCTTCACAGAAATTTTCAATAAATGATTTTAAACATGTTAAATCATGTTCATGTTGTTCACGTCTTCACTATCATGTGAAAAGACGTCTTTTCTCATTTGGGGAGAAATACATAAAAACAAAGTAGAAGAAAGAGAATGAATTTAGATTAACTTCTTATCAACTGTAGTTCATCAAAGTACTGTCACTTTTTGCGAAGCGCTAGAGTTGAAATGTCATTTTGTTGTCTTGTCTGCACCATCGAACGTATGATGTTGGAGTTTTTCAAGGTTCTCACTGTACCTGCTGCGTTCGCCATAATGTATTCACCACCTTAGCCAATCTCAAGAAGGAGCTTAAGGCCTACGATTTTGTTGGCAATCGATAGACAATTGTTTTAACGTATACAGGATCTTGCCGTATTCTGTTTTTTTTTTTTTTGCAAGATTTTAAAAGGGAGCCCTCGAGTCTCATTATCTCATCCTTGCACAGCACCTCAGTTGTTTCTTGCCAAACACATTTACAATGATACATGTTGTATATCAATGGAAAGAGGAAATTTATCTCTTCCTAGCGTATGCACTCGCATTTGACATCCAAAAAAATCATCAGAAAATCTTGATTGGAGTTCTATTGTATCACAACGCTATCTTTAATCACCCGTCCAGTAGCATTCCCCGCTTGCTCGGTAAGGGCTGGGCCATCAAGTTCAGAGTTGATGAATAGATATCCTTACTTCCTCATACCAAGATTGCAAGGGGTTCATGATATCTTCATGTGCACCCTAAAGTCTACCTGGCTACAGTTTTGCAGACAACACTCCTTTCATTATTTCTCTAACTCCTCATCACTATATGCTGGTTCAGGATGTTTTCATTATTGGAGCTGCTCGAACTCCCATTGGCTCATTTCGATCCCAACTAGCAGCTGTGTCTGCCCCTGAATTGGGAAGTATCGCAATAAAAGCTGCTGTTGAGAGAAGCGGAGTGAACCTTGACAATGTTCAAGAGGTGTATTTTATGATACTCACTCAATAAATCAGCATCGTAACAAGATCTGTAGTTTTAAGGTGTATATGGGACAAGTCTGCCAGGCTAATGTTGGTCAAGCACCTGCCCGGCAAGCTACGCTTGGTGCCGGTTGGTTTTACTTTTCAAATACTCGTTTTCTGCGCATTAACGTTTATTCATCTTTCATCAACCATACAGAGTGAATGGGCACGAATTCAAAGTTCGCTTTGCTTCTTATCACCTTGAATTCGCTGCAGTTATGCCTCTTTACTACCCATTCTTATAGGTCTGAGCACTACGACGATAGTAACAACAGTGAACAAGGTTTGCTCATCAGGGCTCAAAGCGATCATGCTTGCTGCTCAGCAGATTCAAACTGGAAGTCAGGACGTGAGGTGTTTTTTGAGCTTCAGTTTTTTTCCTGTTATGAAAGTGTATACAAAAGACTCTTCAAATAGTACATAGAAAACAAGGGTGAAAGTTTTTTT